ACTTTAATGCTAGTTCTTGCTCCAGCATGAAAGTAAATCTATTACGACCAGCGCGGTTGTTCTTATTTAATTTTCTTCTTCCAAGCCTTACATGCACTAAGTTACTGACACTTACGGAATAGAAAATCTTACACTGTGCACTGACTATAGTAAACTTCTATTCGCATTGACCGTAGAAAGTTCCTTCCAATCCGTGAGAGACTTTCTTTTACTAAAAAGAATGAATGCATTTATTGTAGTTCTGTGATCGGTGGATCTGGAACTGACTGTTTAACGCTGGTTCGCGAAATGTCGCGGTAAGCAAGAGTCGCCACCGTCTTTTATTTTCTCCAAATGGAAAGGACAAAAGCACAGAAAAATTCCTTAAAGAGATTGCTCTCGGTTGGGAGGTAGATTATAGAAAGGGAAGGTGTTAGCACCCTTTCTATCCATGGTTATCCATGGGCTCTTAGGTACTTGCTCATTTGTGTTTTCAAAATTGTTTGCTTGCTTTTCAACTGTGGGTTTTAAAAAGTTTCTTTGAAAATTTCAGTTCGACTCTTGTATCGGTCCTCAAGAGTGTTTGAAAAAATTGCTTTCAAAAGCTTTTTGAAAAGGTGTCGGTGTGAAAAGTATTTTTTTGATTTGTTTTGAAATTAGAGCAAGTATCTAGAGTCGTCTACCTACCCTAAGGAATTCGTCTGTGTAGATGTCCTTTAAAGTAGTGCCATCCCACCATTGAGAGGTAGGTAGCACCACCGTTGGAGGTGTTCGGGTCAATTCGAAGTTCGGGACATGGTGATCACCGGAGCAATAGGAAGATACCTTAGAAGCTACCCTCATGCCAGGTTCCCGGATCATGAGGACTTACTAAAACATCCTCTACTCGACGATCACCTTTCGAGAGGCAAGGCAACAGTGAGGCGTACCCTAGGGGTGGTGTGTGATTTGTGTGTCAGATTCATTTATTTTTTGTCTTGACATGTATGGGTGATCTACGCTTTTGTTTTTATGTTATCATTCATTCTTGCATGCAATTTATTAGCAGTTAAAAAGTCACGAGAAATATAAGTTCTTAAGCTATTACAAAGGCGCGGGTCCACATCGCCAAATTAAATTCCAGGACCCGATTTGACATAAAATAAAGGAAAGTGCGAGAAATATAAATTTACACGGCTTTGGGAGAATTACATTAATATTTAAAAGAAAGGAATAAGAATAAAATGCGCGAAGAGAATAAGAATCGGGAATGCGAGGGCGTTGGACCCTTTTTAACGAAATTAAATTATTATGAACAAATTAATTAAAATAAAATAAAAAGAAATTATTTTTGAGGGTTTTTGGTATTTATGATTTTAATGAGAATTAAATGAAATTAAAACCTAATTCTAGCTATTTTTTTAATTTATTAAGAAAATATGAAAATTAAACCTAAAATTAAAACCTAATTAATTAATGCAATTTGATTTATAAAAATAAATAATTAATTATTAGTGATGAGAAAATAAAAGAAAAAGTAAATAAAGTAATTAAAACCTAATTCTACAAGTTTTTAATTTATTAAGAAAAGTTATTAAAATTAACCCTAGAATTGAAAACTAAATTAAATGATATTATTTATTCACAAAAAATACTAAATCAAATATATTTATTTTTTGTCTTTTCTGATTTTTTACTATTTTTATATTTTATGAAAATAAATTGATTTAAAGAATTAAAAAAAAAGAAATAATTGAAACAAATAAAATAAAAAGGAAAAGAATTGCAAAAACCTTGGGGGGTTCTGTCCCCAATTGGAGGTCATATTGTGGCAATTAGGCCCAGTAATTTAAGGCCCTTTCTGACTTTTCATGGGAGCATGTGTATGCGTTGACTGCAGCGTTCCATAGACCTTGATTCTGGACCATTGGATTGATGTCATAGGCCATGTGGCAAGCTGGATATGAGGCTACAGGATAGATCTTCAGACAAAGCGCTGCATGGAATCACGTTAGGAAGAAAAATATTGAAAGAATGTGGGGGACCTGGGAATCGAACCCAGGTCCCAATGCTTGCCAACACAACATCCCACCAACTGAGCTACTTCAACGCGCTGTATGTAAAACAAAGCATAAATAATATAAGCGAAAATTGATGTTAGTGGTTAGAAACAAAAAACGCGCACTAGTTTCAAATCAACCAATAACAGCTTGCCACAGGGTCTTCTTCTTCGTTGGCTTGCTGTATCTGAAAAATAAAAAGAATTAGCGGGGGTTCTAAACCCCCCCAAAATACCATCTTTTCAAAAATAGCGAATAGCCCATATGGTTATATAAATTGGGCGCGACTGTTGCACTCGATTCGTCCAAGTGTCCTGATTTTGACCATGGCACTGAGATGTTCTAATTTTACAATATGCATAAACGCCCAATTTCACAGTTTTGTAACCCTAACCATCTTCCATGGTGAAATCGCGTATGGGTGAGGAAAACTCAATTAAACAACAGGGTTAGCTTCAGAATGCTTAGATTAGTGTAAATCAGTAAAGAAAACACATGAAAAATGTATGTAATTCAATATGCGATTATGAATATATTTCTGAAAAGTGGGATATGCTTCTACCGTTTCTTGGTGTTAGAGCTTATGATTTTGATTCAGGAAGTTCCCTTGATACCTCAGGAAGGTGATAGAATGGTCGTTTGGCCTTGAAACCTGCTGAAACTAGGTGAACAGTTTTTGAATTTTCTTGAAAAAATGCAAACTTGGTTATGGTCTTCTTGCGCAGCTTTCAGGTTCTTTTCATTAGGGTTGGCATTAGGCTTATGTATGGAATGATTAGGGTTAAAAATTGGGTCCAAAAAACCTTTGCATTGATGGAAGGATATTTGATTTTCATGGCATATATTTTCCAATCTTTTTCATGCAAATTTGATTCCAATCATGGCAAATCACATTGATTCTTTCTATATCTGATCATGCACGAAATCTTGAGCTTATTCCATGCATAAAAAGATTTAAAAAGTTTGTTTTGGTATTTTCCACATATTTATTTTAATTAAATGAATTATTAGCAATTAAAAATTCAAATAAATAAATAAAAATGATGAATAACTTCCCTTTTGGCCAAATGGTCGTGCACATGCTTTGGATGATGAATTTTGGGAGAAAATGTGGCCCATTAGCAATTTTAAGGCTTTTGGAGCAAAGCTGACTTTTCAAAATATCCAAAAATTTCCCAACTTCCACAAGGAATATCTTGCTCAATTTTTAAGATTTGCTCATGTTCTTGGACATTTTGGAAAGGTCTTGAAGTCCTATAACCAATGACTTTGGTCCCATGTCATTTTGATTTACCAATATCAAGTTATGGCCTTTGACTTAAAGTCCCTTTTTGTTGACTTTTGAAAATGACCTATAATGTTGAAATTGATAACTTTTTGTGAGAGCATTTCTTGGACTTGAAGTGTGAAGAGGAGTTGTAGGAAATGTCTTTCTATTCAAAATGAGCTTTGGATGGAATTTTTCTGATAATCCATGTGGAAGTTATGCCTTGGTCAAGTTACAGTTGACTTTTTCAACTGTCCAAATATGGAAACTTTTGCATCTTGAGACTTTTTGAGCCAAGCTTTGAGAATCATGATCAAGCATTGATCAAATGATGTTTATGGCCTCAAAATGAGATGTTGACAAAAAATTTGAACTTTTGACTGTCAAATGACCATTTTGCCCCTGTAGTTGACTGTAGTGCAATTAGGGTTTTTGACTGTGCAATTTTGTGTTGTAAGTCTTGAAACTTGGTATGAGGATGCTTGGCCATGTTTATAGGCATGTGGGACTTGATTGGACCCTTGGAAACTTCATTTTCTTTGTCAGAACCAAAACCCTAGTTTTTGACTGTTAGGAGGCCCTTGAACTGTGCAACCCTTGGGGAATTTTGAAGCATGCTTTTTGCAATTCTTGAAGAATATGGGAGGGCAAATTTTGGGGTACAACAGTTGCCCCTGTTCAATCTTCTTAGACCTGAGGATGCAGATTGGCTGACGTGCCTTTCGTAATCCGAAGGTAGAAGATGATTGAACACTAGAGTGCCCAGAAATTTGCGCTCACATAGTAGCAGTGTGGTGGTGGAATGGGCTTATAGATGCCATTTGGAGATTGATGGATAGGATGATGGGCTTATAGATGCCATGCTGAGAGATTATGGATGGTGGATGGGCTTATAGATGCCATCTGGATGTCGATCGCGTAAGAGATTCCTTAGCGAGAACTTGCGTACCTGCAAAAGAAAATGGTTACCTGACCTGTTACAGGAGCTGGTCTTTAAACTCTTTGTATAGATGTGTCCTGACTGGTTACAGGAATGGAATCTGGAGCTTCGAAAGGTGATGGATGAACCGGGGATGGTTACTACCTCAACAGGAACGGTGAGAGAACCTTGGATGACTACTACCTCAACAGTAACGCTGAGAGATTCTTGGGGCGATTACTACCTCCGCAGTAACGGGGAGAGAACCATAGGCGACTTCAACCTCAACAGTATCATTGAGAGAATCTTGGACGACTTCAACCTCAACAGTAACGCTGAGAGAATCTGGGGACGATTACTACCTCCGCAGTAACGGGGAGAGAACCATAGGCGACTTCAACCTCAACAGTATCATTGAGAGAATCTTGGACGACTTCAACCTCAACAGTAACGCTTAGAGAATCTTGGGACGATTACTACCTCAACAGTAACGCTGAGAGAATCTTGGATATCTTCTACTGAGTCTTTTATCAGAAAAATCTGTTAGGGGTCGATTTAGCTGGACTAGAGAAGGCCTTTGACTGGATAAGAAACAGAAAAATCTTAGGGTCGATTTAACTGAACCGGGCAAGGTCTTGAAATCTTCAACTGGATAAGAAACAGGGAGATCTTAGGGTCGATCTGACTGAACCAGAGAAGGCCTTTGACTGGATAAGAAACAGAAAAATCTTAGGGTCGATTTAACTGAACCGGTCTAGGT